CCTGCAGCATGCAGGGGGTCAGACCAGATGATCATAATGGTCCGTTCTGACCTTAAAGTCTATGAGTCTATGAGTCTATGTGTTCTCTCCTAAGGCTAGTGATGTGTTGAGATACTGCAATGGTCATGCACTTTGTCAACAGCAACTTCTCAACATATGTGAATAGTAATTCCAACAAAGATGAAAATGCATCTGATATTTTCACGCAAGACAACTCTGAGTGTCTGGGATAACTAAGCCAGCAAGTTTGAAGGATTTAAGTTGCCCTATGCTGAGAGTTGGGAAATACTAGACCTGGCATGGTGAACTAAAGTGACTAATGTATTGGGAATAGGTCAAAACTATGTTTAAATATTTAGTCCATGAACATCCAATGCCATTTCTCCTTTCCCTAAAATTGGCAGAGTACAACCAGTGAAACACAAAAACAAGTATTTTCCTCCATTATTCCTTCAGGACTTTAGTGCCCAGTACATAAACAAACTGGTCATGTTTCTGCATGTATTTTATTACACATCAAAGCAGTGCTCTGCATTTTGCAATGGCTTCTCAGTCAGATCTCTCCAAATCTGTTTAAAGGTTCTGATGTTATTTTTTAACCCCCCCTAGGAAACGAGGAACAGCCATTTCAGAGACTACCTCTCACTCATTTATTCACTAAGAAAGCTAGAGCAATGGAAATGCCATGACTGACTGAGCCAGTGATTGTGGGGAAGCCAGTTTATTCTCCCTGGCAGACCCTTAGCTGAGGAATTCTCTGCCTCCAGGAATCGGCTGAGCCATAACCTTGCCATCTTCAGGTTAGGGTGCAAGATACATATCGTGCAAGCCTTCTCATAACAATAACTGATTCACAATGTTTACTGCTTTCTTCCTGGAGAGCGAAAGTGAAAATACCTCACTTAAGAAAGCAAGCACAAATTAGGAGAAGATGGAGGAGACCAGGATTCCGCTGATCATAATAATTCTTAATCTGTGAATATGGCACCTAGCTATTATAGTGATTGGACTACAATAAATCCATAATATAGTTAAGTAAATTTATATATACACAATATAAATTTTTATTTTAGAATCAAGTCTATTTCTCCACTTACTTCGGTAGAAGAGACAAATAAAAAGGGTTATATTCTTCCATACAGCGCTATGTTTACTTCATGTTTGGAATCAGAAGTTGAGGCGGATCAGTATAATGTACTAATACTTTCTGATGTCCAATATAACTCATCACTTGCTAGCAGATCTGTCACTTTGCTGATATGCCGGCTCATGGAGCTGGGCAGAGCAGCAATAGGCAACGCTGAGATAAGTAGAGCAGGGTAAAATCTCTCAGGTCAGTAGTTTACTTGCCAAAAGACGGAGTTCTGGGTTGACCGAAATTACTCGCAAATTCAGGTTGAAGTCAGCAATTGTTTTCAGCTGAAAGTATATAATTTTTTCCCCAAAAAAGAGTCGAAATGCTTTGTTTCAACATTTTCAAAATGAATATTTTGATTTGTTTTTGAAACGATGTTTCTTTTCCAGATTTAGCTAGATTTAAACAAAAAATGGTAAAAATAACCCAAATCAAAATAAAACCAAAAATGATTTTTTTTTTTGATTAAATGATTCATTTAGGTAAGAAACATTAAAAAAAAATTCTGTTTTGGGTCCATCTGAAACAAGCCCCCCCAATTTTTTTTGGTTCAGCCACCAAACTGAAAAAAACCCCCAGACTTTCTGAAGCTGGTGTTCTGAACAGGAAGAGGTGTGATAGTAAAAAAAAAAAGGCATTTTTGAAAGGGTAAAGCTACTTAACTTTAAGGAAGTTATAGCTAGCATCATTAGTAAGTGTGACAAATTGTAAAGCAGGTACTGATAGGCATTTCAAGCAATGTCTGTGACACAAAGCTAAGGAAGATCACAATAGAAGAAGATAATCTATGGATTACAAGTGATTAAACTTATTCATAGATATTAAATTCACTGAACAAACCCACTTTATGGTCTAGAATGTTAAATTTTATGGCAGCATTTGACTTTAGATATATGTCTTGATACAACAGTTGTCTATTTTGCCTTGAAGTATTTATTTTACCTTGTTCCATATCCCGGGCAACGAACACACAAAGCTGCATATTCGTTCAGTACGTGTTGCACATGCTCCTTTCCTTGATCTTCCAATGCGGGATCTGGTAGCTGACTGAAAAATAAATAGCGCTATCACTCTTACCCAGTATTAATACAAAACAAACCCTCCTACACTTACTAACTATAATCAACACACAGCTTGATGATAATGATAAAGGCAAAATGTCAAAATAAAATGTGATTTTTTAAAAAAGAAACATGAAAAGAAGGGACCAAAGATAAAAAGGTTTGTCAGCTGTTTCCAAGAGAAAATTTCTCAAGGACTTAACCTTTCATTTCATCAGCTTTCTATTTATTAAATATTTTTAATTATTGTTGACAGTCTTTTTTCTTTCCTTGCTATTCCTTCCTTTCTGTATTTGTAGTGTCTCCTGAAATAAAAGAATACCCCTTTTATTGTCAAGTAATTTAAAATACAAAGTGTAAAAAACAAGTATTATTCAAGATGGACTCATGGAGATTTCTTTTGTTTTGGACAGAAACCTGTCTGCAACTTCAAGAAACATTTGGAGGAAATGGAAAATTATATTGCACAATGCTTAATAAATTCCCAAAGTAAACAAGTTTGCCATGGTCAAGTGTATTGCGATGGTAAGGTGGTATTGAGATCTGTAAATTGTAATTAATGAAACCTCAACACCCTACAGAAAAAGAGTCCAAGGTCACAGAGTCCATAGCAGAGCTGGGAATAATACCCAGATTTTCTGCCTTCCATATATAGCTCATGATGTCAATGACTGACAAATCAAATTGAAATCTGTAAAGACAAACTTAAAATGCTATTTGCTGCACCCTATCGCTGTGTGTGGTTCTCTGCCTCTTCCATCCCCATCACTGCTCAAGTTTCTGCCTCCTACCATAGGCCAGCTTGTGTCAGTGTCTATCAAAATGAGACGAAGTTCAGCAGCCAGTTAGGCACTCGGAGCGCCAAAGAAGAGAGTGGAAGGAGACTGTGATTCAGTGCTGTTTTTCTCGAGTTTTTCCTGCTCCAGAAAGAGATGATGCAGTTTGACATGACTTTAGTTACTGCTATTGAAGCACAGTGTCCCAGATCACACTAGTTTTCTTTGGGGGAAATAGCACAAAGTCAGACTGTTTACACAAATGGGAAGAGAGGGAGTCACTAAAAGGATATCATGCATGATACCAACAGAGGAAGAGATCCTGAGGTGGGCTTGTTGTGGGAATCAAATCTCATCCAATAAACCTATTAGATAGCTCACAGAATTAATGCTTATGAAGTGCCAAATATTTCATATGAAAGATATCTTTAGTTCTTAATTCCTATTGGCTGCTTTGAAAAAATCTCAGCCATTTATTTTAAAGTTTTGAACTTTAAAGTTACCTTTAAGACACTCCCCTTTTGGAACCAAAGTGATACTCTTGATGTCTATTAGCACAACTGCAAGATCTTGGGTGCATGTGCATTTGAGTTGTGCAGTACCCTACAGGTTGGCTGTCTTACTGCTAAATTGCCCCAATAAATTTGTTAGTCTCTAAGGTGCCACAAGGACTCTTTTTTTTCTAAATTAACAGTACAGCAAGTTTTTTTAAGCACATCAGTGTTTTTCGTTTGTAATATCGAATGCATAGTAAAAATAGCAGAACAGATGCACAACTTAACACTCAGTTCAGTTTTCTAAAGCCCTCATCTTGTCATGAGAAATTTTTCACTTCTTTTGAAGCTTTGAAAATACCACACAAACATACTTAAGTTTTGTTTTAAACCAGATTAAGCTGACAAAAGACAGAGAACTTCAAGTCTGCATTCAAGAAAATGCACGTTATTCAAGTGGAGGTAGGTGTTTGTGTAAGATAACTGCTATGGTCCTATCGAAGGGCTTGGACTAGTGTTTTATGCAAACTCACATATTGTACCTATGGGCCAAAATCAGGCTGTATTTACTACATGTGTGTCAAGAGAGGCAGCTAAACAGTGTCACTACTTACCCCTGTCCTGAGCCATCCCAAACCTGTGGCTCGAGCTTGGGTAACGTCTGGGATCAGGAGTTATGGTAAGCATGTTTTAGTTTATCATGACTTATCCTTTCTATATATTGCACGCTCTACTCCTGCCTTGGCAGGAGTAATCTTTAAGGAATAAGGTACTGATAAGTCAGAATACAGATCCACACTAATGCTGCTTTTGCAGTGATAATGTCATGTAGGTCTGTATCTGCCTTCAACACACACAAAATCAAATCAGTAGGGCTGAAATTTGTTCCAAGGGGGAAGGGAAGTATATTATTTTACTTTTACTTGGCTTTGGTTAAATATAAGCTGAAGCTTTAGCATTACTTTAACACAGCTTTTGTAGGTGAGTTTTAAAATGTTTGTACTTCATGTTAAGTAAAATGTGGGTTATGTTCTTACGGGTCTTGATTATTCAGCACTTTAATGAGCTCCTGCACCAGGTCTTCTTTGGCAAGGTCCTGACTTTGCTTGATCACCTCTGTGAAAAGCTGCTTTCCATACTCAAGTTTCTTCCATGGGGTATCCAACAGAGAATTACTCAATCCATAGATTCCTGAATATTGAAATTAATAAATAATAATAAAAACTTGGGGGCAGGTGAGAAAATGTTTGTGTTAAGCATTTCTCTGGGGTGAAAAAGTTAACATATATGCAATACAGCCAAAAATATAACATTGCCTCAACCTTCAGGGTTTGAAGGAGAAAATAAATCAAGCAAAACTCATCATAGAGCTTTTGTCATCTTTTCTCAGGAAAATTTGCTTATCTTTAGCACTTACTCCATTCCCACCTCCCCTCCCACCATTTCTGCCTCGAATACCGTAGAAGGCATTAACCCAGGTGGGAAAGAGAAACGTAGTATTCTAATAAAAAAATAATCAGTTAATGTAAACTCTCATTTCCAGATGCTTAACTCTTCATAAAAAAAACTATTTCTCTTTGTTTTGGAACATAAAATTTTAGTCTGGCAGTTTTACTGAAAAAAGCTATGGATCATCACACTAAGGGTACTAAATATTAACTGAATCACAGGATTTTGCCACAGCTATTAATGAAATGTAGGTTGAGATGTGAAATCAGGTGCAATTTCAAGAAAAGCTTTTTTCAGGAGGAAGACATTGAAATGGAAGTACTAGTATACTATATAACCTAAATTTAGAAAAAAAAAAAAACCAAACCCTTATAACTGTGACACTGCAGTTACTTCACAAAAATAAAACCAACAATACTTCCAGCTTTGAACTCCATCAAATAAATGGTACAAAGAATCATTAACAAGAGGCTATATGTTAACTGTTTTAGATTTAAAAAGTCTCATGCATTCACAGTACAATCCCTATGGATCACTTCCAGCAGCATTCTCTCTCTATAGCTGCTAGTACATTTTCAGGAGAACAGAACCTTAGAAAGGATTTTCTGGTGATTTACAGTTATCTCGTACAGATTTCATCACTTTTAATCTCATTCAAATGATTCCCTAGCTAATCTTTATAATTAGATATGCTATAAAACGTATGTCCTGGTACTAGGCAGGAGATTGGAGCTCTCCTAGCACACATTAGGGTATGGTTATGTATTCCACAGTGAAGTGAGTTTATTTGTTTCTCAGTTTTATTCTAATCCTCATCTGCAGCAATTACTATAAACCTCTGGTTTGGTAATTTATGGCAAGGTATCTTTAGAATTACTTAGTACATTTTGCAATCTAGTCTATCCCAGTTTATTCCTTTTAATCACCTAATTCACTTTTCTCTCTGATATGACTCTTGAATAATACTGCACTCACTGATGACAGCAGGGAAGTTTCTCCTCAATGGTGCCCTACATTTCCTGGCAACAATCCAAGAGACTAAGCACTGGCTGAACAATGTAAAGATCCTCCCAAACTCAGCTCTCCCTTAGGAGGCCAGATCTACTGAGAATGAATTCTTTGTTGATATGTGGAGATCAGGAATAGCTCTGCTACATTCTGCAGATACCTGGTTTTTGTAATGCAATTATTTTTTAAACCGCAACATGAATAAAAGTTGCTAGTCTTTCAGAACAGTATTAACACACACACACACACAAAAGACAGTCTATTAAAATGTCAAGTCCCCACTTTGTTACTGGCAGGTTACCCCAGATTCTGAAGCGGATTATCAAAGAAATGGAAGAGATTATATATACACATTTTACCCATGCTATCATCCTGGGTTGCTTTCTTTCTACACGCTAACTTTTTCCTGTCAACAGCTGCCACTATGACAGTTATGCTTTCATCTGGAAGAGCATGCCAGAGATTGGCACAGAGGGATTACACAGAATGCAACAAAAGCAGTCACCGGAGACCATATCACCTCCACACTACACATAATATCCATGTGCTCCAGGACTAAGACCTCCAGTTCTCTCCCCAAACAGCACGACTGCCACCCTGCCTGACGGTTTTTATTATGATTAATGATTAAATTTTGTGCTCCTGAAGGCAGGGGCTTGACGTATAGCAAAGGCAGGCATGGCAGATGCTTTTCCAAATCCTGGCCTGCAACAGTTTTGTTAATCTGGTTCTGGGTTCCTCTTGTGTAGAGCATGCCAAACATTCTGAACTGTGTCAAACTAGATGGTGGTCATGCAGCGTGAAAGATATATGGGCAAGCAGGTTGCCAGCAAATTTGTTTGTATAAATCTTTATTTAAAAAGTTTAGAAATTATCAGCCCTTTTTGTTGCTGTTCAAGAGGACGTGTTTTAAAGGAATTATAATTCCCATTTTAACTATTTGCTTACTGAGAGTATCCCATTAACCTTAAGAAAGGCAAAATAAAGATGCCATCAGGATTAAACAAAACACAGAGTAAACTGTTCTTAAAAGCTACATTGTTCAGAATGTTTTATTTATTTTTGACCATTTAAAAAAAAATTCAGCCTTTTGGTGTTGGAATTTTGGATTCATTTTTTTGTAATGTTTACTCATGCAAGGATGAGTACATGTTCTTTCTGTCAGCAAATCTAAGGATTCAAATAAAAAGAAATGTTATTTATGACATAATTGTTATGACAACATACGCCAAATTGAAAAAAAAGAAAAAAAAGAAAAGGGGGGGGGATAAATGTGAGAATTAGCAATTAGAGAATTAATTTTGAAAGTACTATACTAAAGGTGGGGTTTTTCAAAAGTGCTCTGCATTTTCCTAACATACTGTTTCTTAGTACTTGTAGGGCCTTGAAGTCCTAGTCATGACCTAGGGCCACATTGTGCTAGGTGCTGTACAAACACAGAACAAAAAGACAGTCCCTGCCCCAAGAGCTTACAATCTAATTATAAAACAAAGAGATGGAGACTGGCAGGCCAAGTGGGGACTTCAAAGAAACAATGAGACACTGTTGTTCAGCATGATATGCAGTGATCTCAGCACACCAGCAGCCTAATCATTGTCACGTTTTTTTGTAGGCATTGTGGCACAGAAGAGATTTAGGGGGATAATGATTTTGTAGATATTTATGGGGCACTCATTCCTCCCTAATGCAAGTAGCAGATTGTTAGAAATTTAACAAGTGGGCGATGCAGGCTGACATCGTAGGCCAATTGTAGGCATGGGTCAACATCTTGATAGTAAGTGAGAGACGATAGCTGATGTCAATAGGAGAAACTCTGCTTCCAATTGTCAGTGGGAGTATTACCATTGATTTCTATGAGAAGTCAAAGCTGAGTGCTTTTGAAAATATCACCCGTAAAGACATAGGCCTCAGTTCTGCAGTGATTTCCCATCAGCATGGGAAATAGCCCCACTGACTGCAGTGGGGCTCCACCTGCATAGAAAAAATTGTAGGACTGGGCCATAGCATGAACTTTTTATTAACTAAATGGAGCATTATGAGTTTTCACAAAAAGGATTTAAAATAAAAATTTTAAAACACAGAATGTGCCATAAAATTAAAAAATGCAATTACTTAAATATGTATTATCCTCTCTGATTTTTCCTCTTTATAACTAAAGACTTAGAGCAAATAAACACACATTTCACTTTTTAAAAAAAGGGCAACAATAATATTCACAACTTTATAAAATAAACCCACCAGCATTTAGGAAGATAGGTTCTGGTTCTCCTTTGTTTCCGTAGTAGCAAATTACATCTCCCTTGGTGGTGCTAAAAAAATAAAAAATAAAATAAAATAAAAATAAATAATAAATTTTTCTCCTTGCGAAGTGACAACTCATATCTTTGATTAAGTTATATTTTCTGCAACCTTCAACACAGCAAGACATTTTCCCTATTACTGCTATCTGGCTATACAGCTTAGAGATCAGTTGATTAGTTATAATCACCCTCCTTCCCTTTACAATCAGATGTGAAATACTCGCATCAATCTCACTTTTAAAAGTCATTGTAAAAAAACCAATAAAAACTACAAAAATACTGCACAGGATGCTTTGTAACTTGGCTTAGCGAGCAGTGTGCATGTTCTAAATCAGTGGTTCTCAACCTCCAAACCCCTGGAGGTACTCAAAGGTCTTCCACTGGATACATCAACTCATCTAGATATTTGCCTAGTTTTACAACAGATTACATAAAGAGCACTAACAAAGTCAGTACAAACTAAAATTTCATACAATGACTTGTTTATACTGCTCTATATTCTATACACTGAAAGGCAAGTACAATATTTATATTCCAATTGATTTATTTTTATAATTATATGGTAAAACCTAGAAAGTAAGCACTTTTTCAGTAATAGTGGGCTGTGACACTTTTGTATTTTTGTCTGATTTTGTAAGCAAGTAGTTTTTAAGAGAGGTGAAACTTGGGGTATGCAAGACAAGTCAGACTCCGGAAGGTAAAGATTTCATTACTTGATAAGTGTTTTGTTTGTTTTCTGGCTGCCTAACTTCAAAAGAACAATCCATTGAGGCAAACAGCAGCACTTTTCTATAATTTCATTTAAATCTCCGGTTTGTTCTAGAAAGCAGGTCACCGTGGGTCATTTGACAAGTCATTTTTATACCCCCTCATTAGAAATATGATCGGACATAATATTTGTCTCTTAAAAGAGAAATGCAGCTGCAGGCTCCTTTCAATGAAGTGCAGCTACTGGCTGTGTGAACTCTCTATTTTTAATATCGCTGGATGCACAGTTTTGTAGATGTCGTGAAATAATGTCCAGACTAGAACTTTTCAGGGCAGTCCTACAACATAGCTAATGAGAACTCTTTTGCTGGGCAGGGCTGAGATCAGCATATTTATATAGAATTCGGGTCTGCCTGAACAAATCTGAGTTTTTAAATAGCCTAGCAGATGTTGGCAGCATGTCAAATTCAAGTCAAGTGACAAGGAAATCAGGCAAGTAATCAATTTTCAAGATTTGTATCTCTTATGGGGAAGGGAAGGAAAAAAGATCATAAACTGCCATTAGATTGTTCACTCTCAGCATCCTTCGTTCCTTCTGCTGACATGTAAAGGCAATTTCTCAAACTGCTATCAGTTTATTGGCCTGGACACAGCTATGAGATCATATCAAGCTGTATTTCACTCCAGTGATTTACTTCTTATTTACCATGAAAACAGGCATTACTCTAGTCACCAATAAATAAATTACAACTGTACTGGAGGCTTTAATTTATTATATACAAACCTCAGAAACGTTATCCCCTGAGACAGGTTCTCTTTTTGGATTAAGAACTTTCAGCAAAATTGAATATTGTATGAGTAGGAGGCAGTATAGTACAGCCGATGAACCATTTCTAGTTCCTTGTTTTTCCATCAGGTAAAAAGACAGGCACCAGTAGCTTAACAATGTCCCTCACCACCGCCTAAAGTCGCATACGCCCTTTTTGGACACCATGTATTTAACCTTCAACAATGAAACTACAACCCTGATGAAGCTTGAAAAGCCAAATGGAATGCACAAGAAGTCACAAATAAACACCTTATGAAAGACCCAATGCAGACAATCCTTGGCTTTGATCTCCCAAGAAGTTCATGGGCAACCCTAAACTGTATCTGCATAAACCATGCCAGATGCAGATACTTGCTGCAAAAATGGAAAATTAAATACTCTCCAGTGTGCAACTGTGGTATCCCAGAATGAACCATGGAACATATATCAAATCAATGCTCAAATCACAAATACTAAGGAGGCATCACAGCAATACACTCGGCTATTCTAGACAAAATTATCTGGCTTAACCTAAATCTAAATGTAAAATTATAGTTGTTGCTCTACATTTACAGCAGTCATACGAAGAAGAAGAATCAGCATTTTTCTTTTCAACATTAAGATGCCAGTTCAAAACCAGCCCAGGTTGATAGGAAAAGAGTTGATATAATCTCATGGCTGTTTGGGGATCACTCCAGACAGATGTCTGCAACGCGAAGACATGACAACTGGGAGCCTCAACAGAGCACTGTCGATTGATCACTCCCTCACCCCTGTGGAAGCGCTGTTGCCACTTAAGCTGCACCCGTGCTGTGCATAAGGACTTTGCATGAAAAATGCTAGAAAAGATTAATGAATGCATTGCTTGTAAAATGTGCCAGAGTGAAGTTTCTGTATTTTTCCATTTAAATTCAAACTTCACACTTTTCCATTTATAAATTAACATAGCTCTTTTCACAACTTATTCCCTGCTTACAGAGCCATTTGTTTAGTGGGAGGATATCTGAAGTCGGATCATCCCACAGCAGTTCTTTTTCCTTACTTTTATGGACAGAAAACATGCTTAAACCATATTAGGGAACTATGCTTTAGTTTAGGGAATCAGGCATTAGGGCTTGTTTACAATTTGAAATTTACTAAAATAGCGATTGCAAAATAATTAGTTCATGTGAACACTCTTATTCTGGAATAGCTATTTTGGTAAATTTCTGTGTATAGATAAGTCCTAAGTTTGTGTATCTACCAGGAGTTAAATCATCACTCCAGTGTGGTTTTTTTCTGTCCATACAGGGAAGAATAAGTGATGTTATAACTTGACTTGGCCATAACCATAGACTCAAGTGTACTAGACATTTCTGGGTAGTCTCCCATCATTTCACTACCATTGGTTGGATTAAAGCACAGTTCCTGGAGTCACATGATTACTTCAGAACCTTAGCTTTCATTTAAAAAAGAAAACTCTTTCTAGCCCACATGGCTGTGAAGGAAAACCTTAAAAATGTGGAGAGTAAACCAAAGCAGTGATGACTCCCTAAGTCTGTAGAGAAGCATAAATTACTGCCATTCATCTTAACGGGTAAACTCAAATTTGTGCTCTGTCCTCCCTACACTTTCCAGCAACACCACTTCAGCAGAAACCTATGGAAAGAGGGCTCTCTACCACCACTCTTCATGTGTCAGTAGGGCCCCTACTACCACTCCAAGTCCTCTGCTAAATTGGGTAAAGGCGGAGTCCTTTTCTCTTGGACAGATTCCGGCCCACCTAAATAGAAATGATCTATGGTGTGGGGAGGCCTAGCCTGCCCAAAATGGGGTAGATAGGGCCACCACCAGCCCAGATGGTAGTTTGCGTGAATGACTCTTGCCACCCAGGGAGCAATGAGGACAGTGTCCCCCCACATTTGTGGTGTGCTTAGGTTTTCAGATTGTCTTAATCTGGTCACAACCACTGATGCAGCTCCATTAATAATAGTAATAACGATCCTTAGTATAGACAGGGCTCCTGTGTTTTTATCACTGTCACCTAACCCTGCTTAGAACAGGTCTAGACAACAGTAGCAAAAATGCCATTGAAATTTCAGAACCCTAACGTAGACACAGCCCACCTTATACCAGGTTAATTTTGCAATATTGACATGACCAAAAAACCCCAAATCTAAAGTTTGAATCTGCTGTTATTTTACATGAAGAGTGGCTACAGAATGGTCTTCCTGGCTATTAGGAACAAAGAACTTTCTCGGGTTATAGCAACTTTAAATGTTATGGCCATCCTCAATATTGTCTCTAACTCTAGAGATTTTCCTTTTAATATATGGATTTCATTAAGTAACAAAATACTAGGCTTTTAAATTACAATTCTAACAGAAGACATTCAAAATCTGCTGACAAAACCAGATGGAGTCAGAACTCCCTCTCCACTTACATTATTGACAGATAATACAAATAGCATTTATTTTCCTGACAGCAAACAGTTATGGGCAACTACTTCCAACTTAATAAGGCTTCTCTAGAATTGAACTCTAGGAAAGTTAATTAAAATTGAGCTCAATACTGTGTCCAACAGTATTGACATGACAGCACCCAGCACAATGAGCTTCTGGGCGCTGCGGTTATATAAATATTAAATACATGTTAATAGTAAGTTATTAAGTCTTCAAGTCCTAGCATATTATCAGATAAATTACTTTTGTTACCTGTTACAAATGACTTCAATACTGACAGCAACTTTGAAACTGTTGATATTACAGAAGTTTCTATGCATTCATATAAGGTTTGATCCAACTAACACCGAGACATGAAAAATGAGAATTCCTCTACTATGGTGATGGTCCCAATATGAAGTAACTAGCTCTATCCCATGGAGACCATTGTCAGGTCTCATCTGGAACATTTTATACCACATGACATTGAAGAGTTAAGAGTCCAGACTTACAAGATTAACTTGACGTATATAGGGATTGCTTTAAAAGGAAAGTCTTTAAGAACTTAACATGTTTAACCTAAAAAACCTGCAAGAAAATAGACTTATGGTTTATAAACACCTCAATGGAAGTAGACCCCATAAGTAACTGGGTAGGAATCAGTTCATACTATGAGAGATGAAATAGGCCTAAGGTGAAATACAGATTAGATACCAGAAAGGGCTTTTATACTCACAGAAACACATTAAGTAACTTAGGGCTTGTCTACATTACCCAATGGATCACGGGCAGCAATAGATCCAGCAGGAGTCGATTTATCGCGTCTAGACTAGATGCGATAAATTGACCCCCGATGAATCGATCACTGCCCATCCAGCAGGTAATGTAGACAAGCCCATAGTGATATGCAACAGTGGAGGTCAGCAGTGTCACATTTCAATCTACACTATTTGCTGCATCTAGTTATTAATATTTTAGAGGCATTTGTTGAAAACTAGGCATTATTTTTGTGAGGCAAAGGATGGATTATAGGCTATAATTCGCCATGTTTCTCTTTCTAGGTTAGACACTAT